TTCTTTTTTTTTTTTTTTTTTTTATATAGACTTACAAGTCATTAGCATCATCCATACTAATATAAAAGACATAAAAATGTAAACATTTAACACTGGTTGGATAAGACATATGATATTACATATATACATACACATTAAATATTGCTCATTATCTTGTATTTACAATATTATTGCTTATTCCCCATTTCTTTACTCAATAATAATATTAATTCCTTAAACTAATCCAAATACCATAATAACAAAAACAATGTGCATGACAAAATTTTCATCCAACAGTCCTTCTAAAATTAGGGTTTCATCTCCCATAATAGTCATCCTTCTTCACTATCTATTGTTACTTTTATTAAATAAATAGCTTTACTGGCTTCATTAGTATGATGTACTTGACAAACATACAAAAACAAACATGCATTGCAGACTCTACTTGGGGTATATCAGTGGCACCTCTATTTCACTACCTTGAAATAATAAAAGGGAAAAGATGTAAAAAACACAAAACTATTCTATTAATTTTGTCCAGAATTTTATCTGGCCAAACTCTCCATTTTTTCTTTCCAGAAATTGCTAACATCTCTGATTTTTATTGACTGATGTCCCAAAGCTTCCATGGTTAATTGGTATTGAACTTGTGAATATAATTGGGCTTGTGTAAAATTTGCACTACTCTTCCAGTTTCTTGCGATTATTATTTTTGTTGCTGCTACAAAATGGACATATATAAATTTATTCTTAAAAAGGAGTGATTGCAAATTTAAGTGAAATAGACTGTTATGATGACCTCTAGGGATTTTTATTTCTGTAATATACTCCAATGATTCAAAAGCCATAAACCACAGAATTTTCACCTTAATACAATCCCACCATATATGTCCAAAAGTCCCCTCTTTATCATTGCATCTCCAACACAATGAGGAATTAGAAGCGTACATTTTGGACAATCTGGTGGGAACTAAATACCAGCGGTTCATTAATTTAAATAATACCTCAAGAAGGTTCAGACAATGGATTATTTTACTTGTTTGGTATAATACTTGATCCCATTCAGACTTAAGAATCTGTACATTTAACTCTTTACTCCATTTTTGAATATTTACATTTAAGTTTGGTGCTTCAAGTTGAAGAAGAGCAGTCCTTGCCTTTGAAACTATTTGCGATACCTTCTCATTTCTTAATAGAACTATCAAATTTTCTATACCCGCTGTAGGTCGATGTAACAAAAACTGTTTAATAAAGCCTCTAATTCTTTTTTTTTTTTTTTATTCTTTATTTGTCATACGATAGGTATAGCAAGTACAATATAACTTACAGGCTTACGCAGAAGCCAATAGCAATTCTAACATTTTTGGACGTATATAATGTATTACGATCTCACATTGACAAGCCATGTATATGCCTTTTGTGCCTTGCTACCCATCGAGGATTTTTAGATAACTTTTGCTTCCACTCAACGGGATATACAACTGCATAGAAACTTTCGGGCTTACGCAGAAGCCAACAGAAACATTACAATGGCCAAACTATACAAGCCAAGTAGGCCATGCGAGCCCTAACTGTGTCCCCGTATAATCGTTGCCCTATCAAGGGAACTTTCACCTATCTTTCAGGCTTATTGGCTATGGTTGGGGCCCCATCTGAAAGAACATAGGTTTTGTAGCTACTTCTGTTCATGGGCAGCCCAGCACCTCCAACAGCTTGATTTAGCCTGGCGTATAGAAATACCAGTCTCTTGATAATCAAGTGATAAAATGAGAGAAAGGAAAAAAGAAAAAGATATATAGCAGGAAAAGGGACAGGTTTACAGTATAGAAGAGTAGTGAAGGTAAAGACTAAGTCAAAGAAGGGGAAGAAAAGAAGGAAGAGGAGAAGAGAGGGGGGGGGGAGATCCTTGTTCCCGCAGTAGTACAATCAAAAAAGTCCCCTACAAAAAGGGGGGGTCAATAAGCTTACCTAGTCTATACTCTGATCTGTCCCCTGTCAGTCACCGTTCGAGCCCACCGGGCTATTATCCCATGGCTCCCAAAGTTTTTGGAAAGGTACAGTCGTACCCTTCATCCTGGCAGTCAGATCATCCATAATCCTGCATTCCCGTACCCTAGAGATCACTCCGGAGAACTCCGGACCTTCCGGTTTTAGCCACTTCGTCGCTATCTCCCTGCGTGCGCTTAGAGTTATTTTATGTGCAAGTTTCTGTTCTCTCTTGGTCCACCCATCTACCGTTCTGTTCAGCAAGTATGTCCAGGGGTCCATCTTCAGGGGCTTATCAAAAGTTTGTTCCAGCAGACCTTCCACCGCTTTCCAGAAGCTGCGTAATTTCGAGCAATCCCACCACATGTGGATGTACGTTCCGCGGGTTCCACAGCCTCTCCAGCAAACGTCCGTATCTAGTTTATGCATTTTGTACAATTTCACTGGCGTAGTATACCACCTGAACATAGTCTTCCATGTCTGTTCCTGGAGCGTAACACATATGGAAGCATTTTTGTTCGATTCCCATATCTCCTGCCATTCGAGTCCTTCCAGGACCTCTCCAAGGTCCGCCTCCCATTGCTCAGTATACGTCAGACTCCCCCACTCTTTGTTTTCTGTACTAAGGTGTGTATACAGAAGTGTGATCATGCCTTTAGGTGTCATTTCCTCCGAGCACAATTTCTCGAAAAAAGTCAACTGTCTCTGGGCCGCGGCTCTGATATGTGGTCTTCGGACGAAATCCCGTATCTGGACATATCGAAAGAAATCTGCCGGTGTTAAATGGTGGCCCTGTTGTATTTCCTCAAACTGGACTATCTCTCCATTGCGGTATAACTGATGGATCCGTTGTAGACCGGTATTTTCAATATTTCGGAAGTCTCTTGGAGCCATGCCGGGATGAAACTCTCTGTTTCTAAGTAAAGGGGTGAGAGGGGAGGGATTTGACGCTAGCCCGTACTTGGTGTTAGTCATGTCCCAAATATGTAGCGAGTTGAGTATAGCCGGACAGGTCACTCTTATCATAGGCCGATGTTCTTTAGGGACCCACATCGTGAATTGGGGTATATCCGATCCTACCAGCATAGACTCGACCTCTACCCACCTTCTTTCTTCTGGTGGGGAGTGCCACATGGCTATCTGCGTCAATTGTGCCGCAAGATAGTAGAAATATAGATTAGGCAGGCCGAGCCCCCCTCTATCTTTGCGTCTTTTTCTTGATATCCTGTGCCTCCTGTTCTGCCATATGAAATCCCCTATCGCTTTTTGTAATGGTGACAGTTGCGCTTTCGCTAGTCGAACAGGTAGTGCTTGAAACAGAAATAAGAGGCGGGGGAGGATATTCATCTTTACAGAGTTGATCCGTCCTATCCAGGAGATGGGCTTGTCCACCCAGTTTTCTAAATCCCTTATTAAAGTCCTGAGCAGAGGAGTATAGTTTGCAGAGTATAAACGGTCCGGGTCTGCCGTCAGGTGAATCCCTAAGTACATCAAGGAGTCCTTTTCCATACGTATATTGAAGGTCTCCTGTATTTACCTCGTTTCTGTTTCGGAAAGGCCTACTGACATAGCGCTAGATTTGTGTATGTTCGCTTTATAACCGGACTCTTCTCCGTATGCTGTCATTACCTCTTGTAATGCCGACATTGAAGCGGCTGGGTCTGTTATGGTCAGGAGGACGTCGTCTGCATATGCCGAGACGGCGAAGTCTTTATTCCCCACTCGGACCCCTCTGATATTCGAGTGCTTGCGTATTGCTTGTAACAAGGGTTCCAGTGCTAATACAAAGAGGAGAGGGGAAAGCAGACATCCCTGTCTGGTCCCATTGTATAATCGAAATGGTTTCAGCGGGGAAAGCCTCTAATTCTTAAATAATTATACCACTCTTTCCTAGGTAGTGAAAATTCTTGTATCAAATTTTCAAATGATTTAATTTTATCTCCCGATATTATTTGATTTATATAGTCAATGCCTCTCCTTGTCCATTCACTAATATTTAAATCTTTCATCCTTAGTTGTATAATACTGAAGTTAAAGTTTCCCAATATTTTATTACGAATTCCGCTATTAATCCTCAGCTTTTCCCACTCCATTAGAATTGATTTCAAACAATTATTAGAAGTACAGACCTTTTTAATTCTTTTGTCTTGTTTAGTTAGCCATATCAATTGATATAAATTTTCCATTTCTACCATCTCCATTTCTAATTGGTACCAACCAGCTTCCTCTGAACTTAATAATTGCGTCTTATATATATGAAACATCATATTAGCTAAATAAATTATGTTGACATTTGGGAAATTTATCCCTCCTTTCCTGCTCTTCTGCATCAAAAGATGCTTATTCATCCTCGGCCTTTTTCCTTTCCATATAAAATTGTTTATATCTCGTTGTATCATAGATAACCATGGTTGTGGCATTCTCAAAGGGATCATACGAAATAGATAAGACCATTTAGGGAGTAAGTACGAGTTAACCAAATTAATTCTACCCCACCAGGATAATTCTATTTGTCTCCATCTTTTTTTTTTTTAAATTTGACAATTTTTATTGTTTCGTGCGGTGAGGGTACAGAAAGGAAGAAGGAGGGAGGGCTGGGGGGGGGAGGGTGAACAGATTTCATCAATACATGTTAACAACTCTCATTCAGTTGACCATGAGTATTCAGGCAACTTATACCGCTCGTAGTCGATTAGCGACCAGAAACATTGTCTTGCATCTTTTGTGTGTCAGAGTGGGGTGGGTGTGCTCCCTACTCGATCCCTTATGGGAGCTAACATAAGAGGTCCCATCCTCGCTCTCTATTCTCACACCTCTTGCGCTGCTTCCCACTGATGTGCGAGGCGCTTCTACTCTTATGCGTTTTGTATATACAGTATCATTGGTAGGTTACATTTACGTTTCTCTATCACCCGATCTCCATGAGTTCCACATCTCCCATGCTGCTTGAGTGGTGTTGGATGGGGGGAACAATGTTTTGAAGCTCGTTTCAAACGAGCATTGTGTGTCCAGGTCCTCAATGACCCGTTTCATACCAGGGGTAGCTGTTTGTTTCCAGTGTTGGGCAATTAAGCGCTGTGCTGTTAAAATTATATGTAACAGGAGTTTTTGCTTGGCTCTGGGTAAGCCTTTCGGGAGGTCGGTTATCAACATCTGACGGGGCGCAAAAGGAATAGAGCAGCCAGACGCCGCTTGTGCAATTTTATGGACCCCCGCCCAGAAGGTCTGGATGCGGGGGCACGTCCACCAGACGTGCAGGACCGTGCCCTCGGCCCCATTGCAGCGCCAGCAGGTATTAGAAGGGGTAGGAAATAGTTTGTGTAGCCTGCACGGTACCATGTACCATCTATAAAGTGTTTTATGGCTTTGCTCCAGATGGGCGGCCGATTTGATCAGGAGCCTGGGCAAACGGAATATGCGCTCCCAGTCTTTGCTCAGGAGGGAGCAGTTTAGGTCCGCTTCCCACATTTGCGCTGTTTTTGAGGCAGCAAAGGGTAGATGGCGTGACAGTATCTTGTAACTCATGGAGATCGGTTTACATGCAATGGGTAGTAGTCCCTTAATAAGCATTAACTCCCACACCGTTGGGGTTTCTGGGGGCAGATTGGGCCCAGCATCTCTACAGTAGTGTTTGGTCAGAAACGACCGTAGTTGGATATAGGAGTAGTGTGATGTAGGAGGCAATGAGTATCGGGTTTGCAACTCTTCAAAGCTAAGCATTTTGCCCTGATTGTACAGATGTGTCAGGTGGGTGACACCCCGGGCCTGCCATGGTATGGCGTGGAAAGTGGGGATGCAATATGTGAAAGACTTTATCGGTGTTGCCAGGGAGAACCCCTTGTGGCCGCTAAACAGTGTCGCATTTTTGTCCCAGAGCCGTAAAAGTAGAGTAGTCGAGTGTGGTGCTAGGGGCCATTGCGGTCTATACTTTTTTGGTATCCATATCACGTCGGCCAGTGTGTGAGGGGCCACCAACTCTCGTTCTAGGTGTACCCACTGCGGTGGTGGTGTCTGGAGGAAATGTGGGAGGGCAGTGGCGATAACAGTTGCATAGTAATACGTGTGTACGTTAGGCAGTGCCAGGCCCCCATCACGCTTGGGTGCGTTTAGTAAGTTCTGTGCCACTCTAGGTTTGCCCCCCTTCCATACAAATTGATTTATGTCTGATTGGACCGGTTTAAGGAAGGATCTGGGGAGTTCTAGTGGTAGGGTACGAAACAGGTAGAGTAGCCTAGGGAGGATCGACATTTTGATCGTTATAATTCTTTCGGTCCAGGACAGATATAGTGGTGACCATTTTTTGAGTAAGTTACGGCAGTTGTTCCATGCTGCCACATAATTTGCAGCGAATAGTGCAGTGTGGGCCTTCGTGTATGTAATCCCTAGATATGTGATAGTATCAGACCTCCATTCGAACGTATATTCCCATTGGAGTTGTGTGGTGAGTTTGGTTGGTAGGGATATGCCTAGTGCTTGGGTCTTGGATGTATTGAGGGAGTAGTAGGACACCCTCCCATATTCCTTTATCAGTTGCATAACTGCTGGGAGTGTGGTGTGGAGATGTGTCAGGTAGAGTAGAATGTCATCTGCGAAAGCTCCTACCTTGACCACTTTGTGGCAGATCTTAACCCCATGGATTTCCTCATTTGCTCTGATCCCTTCTAACAAAGGTTCTAGGGCCCAGGACGTACAGCAATGGGGAGAGTGGACACCCTTGCCTCGTTCCATTTGTGATCTGAAAGGGGGAGGAGAGGAATCCCGACTGGAGTACTTGCGCCGAAGGATTCGCATAGAGTGCGAATATTTGTCGGCACACTTGGAGCGGGACCCCATATGCTTCCAATACCCCTTGGAGGAAGGGCCAGCCCAGGCGGTCGAACGCCTTTTCGGCATCCAGCGCTAGCAGGAGACCGCCCTCTCTGGCCCCCCTGAGCTGCTGGAGGACCACCGACAGTTTCCGAGTGTTGTCCAGGCCCTGTCTTCCTTTTACGAAGCCTGTTTGGTCATCTTTGATAACGGAGGGTAGTATGGGGGCAAACCGGTTTGCCAGGATTTTTGCATACAGTTTAGCGTCTGTGTTGAGCAGGGAGATGGGGCGGAAGTTTTTGCATTGATCAGTCGGTTTACCGGGTTTCGGCAGAGTCACTATAGTGGCCCGCAGCATTTCTGCCGGCAATGCTCCTCTCTCCATCGCCTGGTGGAAGGTTTCCAGCAGGTGTGGTGCCAATGTTTGGGCATACTTTTTGTAATAGAGGTTTGAGAGCCCATCTGCTCCGGGGGACTTGCCATTCGGTAACTCTTTGATAGTGTCTAATATCTCTTTCACGGTGAGGGGGCATGTTAAGGTTTCAATTTGGCTATTCGATAGTTGGGGCAGTTTGATGCGGGTGAGAAATGCTTTTACTTCATCTACAGTGGGGGTATGCGTATCGGGATCGTCCCTCAAGTTATACAGTTTGGAATAGAATGTGGCGAACGTGTCACCAATCTCTTGGGGCCCCAGCTTTTTTGTCCCATCTTCCCCTAGTATGTGCGCTATCTTAGTAGTTGCCAGTTTGTCTCGCAGTCTTGCTGCCAGGTACTTGTTGGCTTTCCCACCCGAGTGATAGGTAGTCGCTCTCAGTCTGTTTAATAAGTACTCAGTTTTCGTTGCGTTCAGTGCATGTAGTTTACGGTAGGCCTGCTGGAGTTCCGCAGCAAGTACCTTAGTTGGGTTGGTTTTATTTCTAGCCGTCAGTGCTGCTATTTGTTCGTGACATCGGAGGAGTTCTCCCTGTCTCTGTCTTTTTAGATGTGCAGCTCTCTTAATGAATAGGCCTCGGATAACCGCTTTATGTGCTAGCCAAACCGAGGTTTCCGATACCTCTCCCCCGCTATTCAGACGGAAGAAGTGGTCTAGTTCGTCATTTATTAGTGTAGCAAAGGAGTCGTCAGATAGTAGCGACTCATTGAGCTTCCAGTTCCCTCGCCCCTTGAATTGGAACACGTCGTGTAACGTGAGATAAATTGGGCTATGATCTGACCAAGCAAATGAGCCTATTTTACAATCCGCCATTTGGGCCAGAGACCTGCTATCTACTAGGAATGTGTCGATGCGGGAATAGGTATTATGCACCGCGGAGTGGAACGTGTAGTCCCTCTCCGTGGGGTGTGTGACCCTCCAGCCATCGTACAGGCCGTGTTTTGAGATCAGGGTGGTAAGTCTTTTGCATGTGTTGGATAGGCGTCTACCCCTATTACGGGATGGTGTAGCTGATGTGTCCAGTTGTGGTGACTGGATGAAGTTAAAATCCCCGCACAGAATTAGGCCTCCCTGTCGGTGGTCCTCCACAGTTTGGAGAAGTTTGTTTAAGAAATTTGTCGAGTCGGAGTTGGGAAAGTAGGCCGTAACTAGTGTGTATTGTGTGGCATTAAAAAGGCCCACTAATATAATAAATCTCCCTTGCGGGTCAATGTATTGGCTCTGGACCTCCAGAGCTATGTCTCTACTGATGAGAATTGACACCCCTTTCGTCTTGTTGGCCGACCGGGCATGGAATTGAGTAGGGTAGTGTTTAGCGAATAACTTTGGTTCCGTGGAGGACTTAAAATGGGTTTCCTGGATGCACGCTATATCTATATGTTGGTGTCTGAGCGTCTGAAATAGTAGGCTTCTTTTAGTCGGGGAGTTAAGCCCCTTCACGTTATAGGAGACTATTTTCATAATAGAGTATTAGATTTTGAGTGGGTGGTGACTCATGGCTCCCATAGTGAGAGCACCTATGTTGACGTGTGATGGACAGCATGCGGTACATATTATCGCAGTACAAATCAATAAGAGTTGTGATGAGGAGCACAGTGTTGTAGTTGATCGAAATCCAACTTGGCGGGGGGGGGTGGGAGTAGGAAAAAACAAGGGGGAACATTTAAGAACAAGTTATAAAGAGCTCAAGCCTCTTGAGCTATAGTGTGCTCAGTAATACTGGGCACAGGTAGTGGGTGACGTGGCTATAGGTCAGTCTGATGTGGTAATGACCTTGGCTGGGGGGGGGGTAAGGAGTCACGCAGAGGGGACCATGGAGTGATAGTGACACGGGAGTATTGGAGTGTGAGAGACCTTGCTGCAGGACACTCAACCACTTTGCGTAAATGCTCTGCTCCGTCTGCACTCTGTTAAGAGGAGCAGGTGCGGTGTTTTGGAGTGTGAATGCTATTGGGCAGCGCCTATTCTAGCCGTCAACTAAATGTTGCTGCGGTTATTATGTATAGTAGGTGGTGCACACAACAATAAGCATTATACAAGCCTATTTCAGGATAGCAAATGAGCAGTGACACAACATTAAAATTAGAACGGTTAATAAAACAGTGGTTCAGCAATCATGCAGCGTATACTCAGCCTTCACGTTAGGCTCTGGACCAGTCCACCGACAGTCTTGGTATCTTTTTAGCAGGTTGCACCGGTACATCCGGCTTGGGGAGCCCCCAGTCGTCCAGCTTTTTCAAGCCTTCTTCCACTGACGTGATAGGGTGGTTGGAGTTGTCGTGGTGGACGATAAGTTTCGCTGGGAAGCCCCACCGGTACGGAACCCCCTGCGCTCTCAGTGCGGTGGTGATAGGTGCGAGTGACTTGCGGAATTGGAGTGTGTGTGCTGACAAGTCCGCGAAAATCTTCAGGTTTTCATATTGGGAGGGTAGGTTATCTTTTCTAGCTGCTTTAACAATCTTCTCCTTGACATGGAAGAAATGCACTCTGGTGATTACATCTCTGGCCGTTGAAGTAGGAAGGTGCTGGGGTCTCCTGAGTCTGTGCGTTCTGTCCAGAACTACTTGATCTGGATGGACCTCTGGAATCAGTTCCAGGAAAAAGGTCTGGAGGTAGCTGTGTAGGGCTTCATTTGTGATTGATTCAGGAATACCTCTGATGCGCAGATTATTCCTCCTGGATCTATCCTCCAGGTCAGCAAGTTTCAGGTTTTGTTCTTGGATGAGTTGCTGCATCTGGTGTAGCTGGTCAGCCATGTTGTTGTGCGCGGAGGCATGTTTGCTGATTGCATTCTCTATATGGGATGTGCGTAGGCCCAGGTCCTGTATGTCTCTCTTAAGCTCGCCTGCCAGTGATTTGAGCTGCCCCTCAATGGTGCTCTTGGATTTCCTCGCGGCCTTGTTTCCCATGCGCGGCTTTTGCCATAAAAAACATTGCTTTGTCGGCTTTCGCCGGTCTTTTGGCGGATCAGTGGGACATAGCACCGTTCTCCACTCGGTTCGTGCCGAGATTAATTAGTGCAGCCCGGTTATTTTCTCCCCTGTATCGTGCGGCTCCCCGGAGCTCTAGCAGAGCACGTCCATGCGGCTCGGGTGATAGGCCACGCCCCCTCTGTCTCCATCTTTTTAATGACTCATGTGTCGATCTAAATATTTTCAAAAAATTTGTTTGCACCGTATCTTCTAAGTCATCAGTAAGCATTATACCCAGATAAGATAAACACAAAAAGAATTCAGCGCTAGTAATCACAAAATTAGTCAAGGTAGGCAGCAACCCAAATGAAGGAAAACCCCTCGGGTCCTTCGGTGGATAGATACAAAAAGATATGGAAGGGCTGCGCCAAATAAGGGTAGATAGTCCAGTAAAGTATTGCTAGGGTGCCAATAGATGGTCTAGGATACTTGATAGAGTTCCTCTGTGGATGCGTCAGATAAGATAGCCTGTTTTTATCGCAGTTAAATTTATATTTATCTTTAATCTGTTGGATAGAGTCTCTAGAAATATTTATAGCTAAAAAAGAGGATTTCATTGCATTTATTTTATAATTTGAAATCAGACTGTATTTATCTATCTCTTCCATCAGAGCACTAAGCGATTCGACAGGGTCGGTTAGGGTCAAAATCAAGTCATCCGCATATAGATTCAGTTTAAATTCTTTCTCTCTGTGTCTAAATCCTTTAATTCGAGAGTTATCTCTTATATTAATAGCTAGAATCTCCATTGTCATAATATATAAGATAGGCGACAGAGGACAGCCCTGTCTCGTGCCATTTTTTAGTGTAAACCACTCTGCACATATATTAGGGGCCACTGTTCTTGCTTTTGGGCCTTCATATAGAGCTAAAATAGCATTGAGCATCCTGCCCTGGATTCTAAATTTTTCCATAGTTTTCCTTAAAAAGTCCCAACCGACCCTGTCGAAAGCTTTCTCGGCATCTACAGCCAATACAAATAAAGATTTATTATTTCTTCTAGATGCATCTATCAAATCCAATAATCTTCTAGAATTATCAGTTTTAGACAGATTTATGAACAATATTTGAGAGAAATAGGCCTTTTGTGTACATAGAAAAAGTCTTAGATCTTTGAGTTCAGCTCATGAAAAATGGGGGCAAAAACAAAAGTGTTGCATTTATAATTTTGTTCAGTGTAAGAAAGATGTCACTTGAGGCATGGGCAGTATGAGGTTTTTCTGACAAACTCCAGATATGTTTTCACATAGCTCCTTCTGAGTTACGGCTTATTTAAAAGTAAAACTGCACTAGGCTGAAGACAAACTTTTTTTTTTTTAATATGCACTTGAAAGACAGCATATAGAGTGAGCATATAAATGTAATAGTTATAGTACCACTTGTACCTCCACCAAGGGGTTTTTTGATTAATTTTACCTTTTCCCTGGGGTCAGCCTAGTGTCACTTTCAGCCACCACAACTAATGCTGGAGAGTTGGAATTAGTTTGTTGGATGTTGAGTGAGTGGCAGCTGTTCACAGTGTTTGCTGGTTTTTCCAAAATTAAATTACTTTTCAGAGGATTTTAAACTGATCTGCTTTAGCCCAGGAGGTAGTAAATTATACATTGAGGCCTGTTCAATATTGACGCATACAAGGTAAGTATAAAAGACACCCTATTTATAGTTGCCAACATTTGAAAAAAATTCCAGGGACACTTTGCAGCAAAGCTATCAATTACTACCTTAAAAATGTACCACACCCACTGCCACAAAGTCCCGCCCACTATGTACAACCGACATAATTAATCTACGCCTACTTATAGTGCATATTACAGGGTCTATTCAATAAAGAGAGAATTACAGGGAATTGAGATGGTAATTTTAAACTTAAGGTCAAAGTAGCCAAGTTGGAAAAATTCTCCCATTCAGCTGCACACAGTACAGTACACACAGACAGACTGCGGAGTACATGCAGACATATTGCTGAGTACACACACACAAAGACTGCTGAGTACACACACACAGACTGCTGAATACACACACAGATTGCTAAATACATACACACACATACAGAGTGCATACACACAGTACACTGAATACACACAAACACATACATAAACTGCTGAATACACACACACACATGCACAGACTGCTAAATCCACAAACACAGACTGCTGAATACACACACTGAACACACACAGAGAGACTGCTGAATACACACAGGCTACTTTATACACACACACACATACAGACTGCTGAATACACACACACACTGCTGAATACACACACATACTGCTGTGAGGGATGCAGTGTATGTGAGAGGTGCAGTGTTTGTGTGTGAGGGGCGCAGTGAGTGAAGAGTGGTGTGTGTGTGTGTGTTTGTGGCATAGTTTGTGACTTGTGTGTGTGTGAGGGGTGCTGAGTGTGTGAGGGGGTGCTGTGTATGTTTGTCAGAGGGGCTGTGTGTAAGGGGTCTGTGTGTGTCAGGGGTGCTGTGTGTGTGAGAGAGGTGCTGTGTGTGTGAGAGGTGCAGTGTGTGACGGATGCTGTGTGTGTGTGTGAGGAGTGCTGTGTGTGTTTGTGACAGGTACTATGCATGTGTGAGGGGTGTTTTGTGTGTGTATGTGAAGGTGTGTGCTGGGGTGCTTTGTGTCAGGGGTGCTGTGTGTGTGTGAGGGGTGCTGTGCCCTGGTGGTCTGGTGGTGGTGAGTTGTCACAAGCTCACTACAGACAAGCTCACACACACACACAAGCTTTCTCACTAGCAGGAACACACACAAGCTTTCTCACTAGCAGGCACATACACACACACACACAAACACACCTGAGTATATCAAGTCTACCTGGCACTGGAGGCTGTTGCTGGGAAGTCAGGTAGCCATTTTCTGCAGTAAGGTCTCCTGCTTAACATGGGGGTGAAGCTTGATGGCGGGAGGTGGAACTTGCATTCATGCATTCATCTTACATCGTGGGGGCGGAGCCTGCATCCACGAGGCAGAGCAGGAGCCTGTTTGCCGAGGAAGCTGCTGGGAAATTGGAAGGGAGACTGTCAGTGCTCCCTCCGGCCCCAGCAGCCCCCAGCCTCTCTCTCCAGCCCCCAGCACCTCTCTATAGCCCCCAGCATTTCCCAGCATCTCTGCCCTGAATTCCCTCAGACTGTAACAGGCTGTTACAGTACGAGGGAAAATAATAAAAGCACGTGGCCCTGCAAACTGCCGGGACTGTCCCGGGAGAGTAAACGACAAAAACAGGACAGTTAACTATGCTTTACCGCAGAGGATTTTGGACTAGATCTTGACTGTGTATTTTTCATTCTTTTCCAGATATGATAAAACATTATGACCCTAGGGCTGTTTTTTCTCTTTTGTTTTAATTTTTTGGCTTTTCATTCACAAAAATCTTGGATTATGAGTTCCCATTTATCTATGTATGTATTCGAGCATGTATGTAATATACTTTGTTCTGAGCACATAGACCTACGTTTCTTTATCTTCAGCTATCAGAGCAGTGGTTGTGGGTTTTCATGCAATCAGCACTCCCAAGTGACATTCCACAATTCATTTTGTTACTGACCACATCATTTAATGGTGATTGCATGTCTTGCACAACTACAAAAATAAATTAGTGGTAGAGGACAGCAGGAAGTAATGATTAGCATTCGATCAAAGCTTTTGCCAGAAAACTGGATAGCACCTTGTTGTTGTGCACTTTAAAGGGGAACCTGTCACTTCTCTGAAATTTAAATAGTTGAATAAGATATTGAAAAGCAACTATAATTTGTGTTAAGCTTTTTATTCACAAGATGCTCCACTGTCTTTCAAATTAACATTATTCACTAAAGTGAGGATTGAAAATGAATTCAAAAAGAATTTCAAATTTAACCCCTTAGTGATCAGACCGTTTTTCAATTTTCTTACTGTTAAGGACGAGGGCTGTTTTTACATTTCTTCTGTGTTTGTGTTTAGTTGTAATTTTCCTCTTACTCATTTACTGTACCCGCACATATTATATATAGTTTTTCTTGCCATTAAATGGTCTTTCTTAAGATACCATTATTTTCATCATATCATATAATTAAATATAAAAACAAATCTAAAATATAATGAAAAAATTTAGAAAACCACACTTTTTCTACCTTTGACCCACAAAATCTGTTACGCATCTACAACCACCAAAAAACACCCGTGCTAAAAAGTTTCTAAATTTTAGAAATACCCAATGTTAACATACTCTTAGCTTTTTTTTGGAAAGTTATAGGGCAATAAGTACAAGTAGCAATTTGCTATTTCCAAACCATTTTTTTCAAAATTTACAAAAGTTACATTGTAACACTGAAATCTGTCAGGAATCCCTGAATAATCCTTCACATGTATATATTTTTTAAAAGAAGACAACCTAAGGCAGCGATCATAGGCGTGCGCAGCCTATTGCATTAGGGTGTGCACCCTAAAGCACAAGCACATACACACATATATATATATATACACACACAAACACACATACATACACTGCTGTGTGAGGGTGCTGTTAGTGTGATTTGTGTGTGAGGGTGCTGGTAGTGTGCTATGTGGGTGAGGGTGTTTGTGTGTGTTTGTGAGGGTGATGTTAGTGTACTGTGTGTGAGGGTGCTGTTTGTGTGCTGTGTGTGAGGGTACTGGTAGTGTGCTGTGTGTGTTTGTTAGGGTACTGTTAGTGTGCTGTGTGTGGGTGTTGTGTGCTGTGTGAGGGTGCTGTTTGTGTGTTGTTGTTGTGTGTTTGTGAGGGTACTGTTAGTGTGGTGTGTGTGGGTGTTGTGTGTTTGTGAGGGTACTGTTAGTGTGCTGTGGGTGAGGCTGCTGTTTGTGTGTGAGTGTGCTGTTTGTGTGCTGTGTGTGAGGGTGCTGTTAGTGTACTGTGTGTGTGTGTGTTGGTGGGTGCTGTTAGTGTACTGTGTGTGTGGGGGGGCACTGTGTGTGTGTGGGTGCTGTATGTGTGTGGGTGCTGTGTGTGTGTGTGAGGGGGTGCTGTGTGTGCTGTTTGTGTGCTGTATGTATGTGTGTGTATGGGTGCTGTATGTGTGCTGTGTGTGAGGGTACAGGTAGTGTGCTGTGTGTGTTTGTTAGGGTTCTGTTAGTGTGCTCTGTATGGGTGTCGTGTGAGGCTGCTGTTAGTGTACTGTGTGTGTGTGTGTGTGTGTGTGGGTGCTGTTTGTGTGCTATATGTGTGTGCTGTGTGTGTGCTGTGTGTGTACTGTGTGTGAGGGTACTGGTAGTGTGCTGTTTTTGTGTTTGTTAGGGTCCTGTTAGTGTGCTGTGTGTGGGTGTCATGTGCTGTGTGAGGGTGCTGTTTGTGTGCTGTGTGAGGGTGCTGTTTGTGTGTTTGGGAGGGTACTGTTTGTGTGCTGTGTGTGGTTGTTGTTTGTTTGTGAGGGTACTGTTAGTGTGCTGTGTGTGGGTGTCGTGTGCTGTGTGAGGGTGCAGTGTGTGGGTGATGTTTGTTTGTGAGGGTACTGTTTGTGTGCTGTGTATGGGTGTTGTGTGTATGTGAGGGTACTGTTAGTGTGCTGTGTGTGAGGGTGCTGTTTGTGTGTGAGTGTGCTATTTGTGTGCTGTGTGTGTGAGGGTGCTGTTAGTGTGCTGTGTGTGTGTGAGGGTGGTGGTGTTCCGCCGAACCCTAGAGAACACAAAATGTCTAAAAACAAAATGGCCGAGAGCGGTGAGGGAGCAGTGGGCAGTGATTTCCCTGCTCAGCTCCCTCGCGCGCACAGCAGTATATGACGTGGCTCCGGCTCCGGCACCACTAAGAGGCGCACGAGGCAACTGAGCAGGGAGATAAGTAAATGTGTGATTTTTTTTTTACACACATAGCAATTTAAGAATACATGTACTGAGAACTTTTAAGGGTTACTGCCAAAGAACACCCAAATATGTGTTCAGCAATATCTCCCGACTACAGTGATACCACCCATGTATAGGTGTGTCACGTTCTCTGGGGACTAAAATACCTTATTTGGAGGGTGCGCATTCCAGTTTTCCAACTTGGAATTTTCACAGCTGGTCATCATGCACCCATGTCCTATTTGGGACATTTTTTAAGCCGGCCACTGTAATTTACCCCCATCAAACCATTTATTTTTGAAAAGTAGACATCTAGGATATTTCAAATGGTAGGATTTTAATGCTTTCCACGCACTAATTCTACTGCCAGTCTTTGTCAAACTTTTGGGTAGTCATTTTTTTGTTATTTTTCTTCTGCATTGTATTTTAGGCATGACTACTTAGTTCCTCCTGTGTGTTACTGACAAAGAACACCCCAATGTGTGTTCAGCAACTTCTCCTGAGTACAACAATGCCCCCAATGTACAGGTTTTATGGGTTTTTGCAAACTTACATGGGTCAAACGTAGGACTTTCCCCTTTTCCAAGTTTGCACATTAAAATTTTCCAGATTGGTTTGCTGGGCCTATGTTGCCTTTGAGACCGTATGGCAGCCCAGGAACGAAAATCAACCCCATCATGGCATACCATTTATAAAAGTAGACAACCCAAGGTATTCAAAATGGGGTATGTCCAGTCTTTTGTAGTAGCCAGTCCAGTCTTTTGTAGTAGCTATTTGTTTTTTGCATTTTTTTACACAAAAACTGCACTTTTACTGGTGATTTTATCGTCATGAAAAGTTTTACTGTTTTAACACCAGGGATGTGGGTGCGGGGCCTAACCAGCATGGCTGACGGATGTGTCTGAGGGGAGCTCCTCACACAACTACAGTGATTCCTGCAAAAAGACAGCAGAGCAACCATCAAAACGTGACTAAAGGGCTCACTGACACTGAATCACTTACTGACAGGGAGCCCGCACAAGTTATTTTGGAGCACTGTCCACCATCCGCGGTCAGATATACTCATCGCGGCCTACTCATCTGGTGGACCACATGGAGGGGAGACACGTCTTCAAACCAACCGTATTACAGCTGACCCCCCCCCCGGACCGGTGGGGTTATCCCGGTCCCCACTGGGGGAGCAGCAGATACACAACACAAGCGACTCACCGGCCCCCCAGGCTACACCTTACCGCCGAGCCAAAACTAAAATGGTGACCGTGGCAGAGATAACACGGTTGCCTGACTGGGAAGCCAAAATCTGCGCAGCGTTCTGGAGCCGGATTGCATCCCGTGCGGCACAGACGCAGCCACCTTTTCTCCCAGTTAACAAGCATCAGCAGACGACCCAAACCATGAAGCAACCCCCAAGTCCAGAGACGCACCAGGCGCAAGGCCCTAGTATTCCAGCACGACACACCGTCCCCGTGGATAGCGCTGCTGCTGTGACCACTCGCCCTTCATCTGAGCTGGGCGCTCACCAGGAGGAACTCCTCCACAGCCTGCCATACCCCTAGGGAGAAGATTGGGAACCGGTGGAACCCTGGGCCCATGATCCTGTTGATGGGATCAATGGCAAACAGGCACAAGCACCTGCTAAGCCTCAGGCTGAAGACAAGTGGTCCCTAGCCGCAGTGACACCACAGCAGCAGGGAGAATCAGCCGACCTCATGACCGGAGAAGGCATTTCAGCGGACTGGAGTGGATTTCCAACCCGGCAGACTCAAGTGACTCCCATCCTGAGGCACAACAGACAAGCTTCCATAAGCCAAGCCACATTCATACCCTGCGGAGTGGGCTGAGTACATTAATGGACAAACTAAACAGAACTTGGCAAGAACTTGGGTCAAAATCTTAATACTGCCATTCTAAAAACAAGCGGGAGGGACGGGGGCTAACTATACAACATAAACACACCTGTATTCCCATGGGGGTTTATTGTTAGACAACACTGATAAGTCCCTTTTTATTTTATTTTACTTTAACTTACCAGCAGGCTAGCCACATAACATATCCGGTTAAGCGTGCATAATTTGTTATAGCTTAGATATTGCATACTCTCATTTATCTTTAGCTCACGATGTAATCAGCCGTGCAGGGAGGTCGGGTCTCAAGCGCGCTCATAGTTCCAGTCACTAGGTATATTTACCACACTGAGGCATGGCCTACACACATAGCACAGCGCACTAGATCTGCCCATACAGACGAGCCCGGCAGTCTATAGACTCCACTAACATGCTTCCCTCATCTACCTGATGTGCACCGCGTATTTCCCAGATAGGTGACCCCTGCATGCAGCGGCATTTATGTTTGGACCAACGTAAAATGCTTACTTGACTTACCCGTGAAACATAATATCCCGGCCTGCATCCTACCTTTCACTCACTGACCAGCCTGCAAACTTAACGAATCCACTGTTCTTTCACTAGACGACTCATAATTACCTAAATACGTTTATTATCAATGTCTGAGATAGGGTACCTGAGTTAGAAGAGCATACTTACCTTGATATTGTTTCAAATCTACTGTTCTTTCATAAGACGAGCTGTAAACAAACGCTCAGCTACCACATAGTCTAACCACACTAGCCTGTCTGAACAACTTGCATATTGTTTCTATATTAATCGTACTGTTACACGCGTAGCTTTAGTGATATTTTACTAATTTCTCATAACAGTTATGTGCATGCCATTACTTTCCTTAACTACTATAAAATGGAGGCAGACGAATCTAGGAGATGATGTATAACATACTGTACTATACCAATCGTGTATGTGTCTTTATCGTCTCCCCTTCTTTATTCTGTACCCATGTAACTTTACACCTCAATAAAAGAAAGATTGACAAAACACTAGGGATGTGCATGGGCAGAATATTCGTTTCGTTTCGGCATTCCTAAATTCCGGACTTAGGCAGTTCGGTTCGGCACTTCCGAAATTTGGCACTTCGGTTCAGTTCGGCACTTTGGCACTTCGGGACTTAGGGTACGTGTAGGGTTAGGGTTAGGGGTAGGGTTAAGAGTAGGGATAGGGTTGGGTTAGGAGTAGGGTTAGGGTTGAGTTAGGGTTGGGTTAGAGTTAGGAGTAGGGTTAGGGTTGGGTTATGAGTAGGGTTAGGGTTACGGTAGGGATAGGGTTAGGAGTAGGGTGTGGGTTAGGAATAGGGTTAAGATTAGGGTTGCCAAGGTGGCCAGAGCTGCTGCAGGGGGACTGCAGGGGTCTCCGGCAGTCCATCCCCGAACTGTGATCGCCGTGGATAGCTGGTCCAGGTAAGTCCAGGGCTCCTATTTGTCCCGTGTGTACAACGGTCGTTAAAGGAATTTATGTATTTATATTGTCATTCTCAATGTATTTTGATTTAAATACATATGTATGTTAATATTAAAATACAGTTAGAACAAATTTTAACTGCTTTATAAAAAAAAATGTATTTACATTTTTTATTTTTTTTTCAATTTATTTATTATTAATATATATATATAAGTAACGTAATTTTAAGTGTATTTTAATATATATATATATATATATATATATATATACAGATGTAAAAAACAGATAAAATGTGCATCTTGTAATACATTTTTTATTGGACTAAAGACTTTTTTAATGACTTTCGGGAGAACCTCCCTTTCTCAAGTCTGAAGCATTTCTGAGCAAAACGACACATAGAATTCAAAGTTGAGTTGTGATACAGGGGTTAAAGCGACATTAGTGCAGATAAGACACAGGTTTGTTAGAAAATAGACACCATCTTAGCAGAGGGTCATAAATATCTTTTCTGAAGAGCAGAGTGATGGGGAGAGGGAGAAAATAAAACAAGCAAACAGTGCAAAAGATGGTACACTTTATACATACACACACACACATAAAATATCTATATGCCAACGCATAAACACATGAATATATATATATACAATAAACACATATACATACATGCAAATTAACTCATATACACAAATATAAATGCACAGTAAATATATAAGCATTCATGCATATGAGTATGGGAAAGCATAGGTCTAAAGATAGTACTTTGTATATAGATAGAATAAACATATAGGAATGCATTTTAAAGTGTTGGTACATATGACAGAATAGTAAGATAATGCTGGGAGAGTGTTCATGTAAAGTGTTGTAGTGGGACAGGAACCCCAAATCAATATTTAGTCCTCAATTCTTGCTGTTAAACAATTTGATCATTCTGGCTATTTCTTGGGTATTTTTAAAACCCCCTTTCAGTACTTTGATTTTTAGGTCCTTCATTGAGTGGCCAGGCTGGGTAAAGTGGTGTCCCACAGGAGTGCAGTATGATTCTTTTTTTGTGGTGTTTAATAGAGTGTCTGTGCATATTCATTCTGCCATTTAATGGCTGGGTGGTTTCCCCAATGTAGCATCCTAGGTGGCATTTTATGCACTGAATCATGTATACCACATTGCTGGATGTGCAGGAGTATGAACCTTTAATGCTGTAGGTTTTATTGTTGTGTGTTGTCTGTGCATATGTGCTGACACAGTTTGCAGCGAGGTTTTTTGCATTTACTGGTCCCGTTTTCTTCATTCTTACCATCAGTGGGCAGCCTCCTGTTGATAAATTTTTGTTGGAGGTTTGGTGTTTGTCTGAAGGCCAAAATCGGTGTTTCAGGGAAAATGTTTTTCAGAGTCTCATCTTCTGTTAATATTGGCCGTAGGTCTTTGATGATTTTCCGTATTTCCTCAAGAGTAGGTGACCACAAGTGGCACTCGTGTGGATATTTTTTTCTCTC